TTTACGAAGAAAGTGGTGAAGGCAGAGCCGGTGAGGTGGGCACATGGGAAGGTTTAAATAGGTGATGCTGGCCACGTTGTATAGAGAACGCGAATGACAGAAAGTGTGAAGTAATTGAGTGAAGGAATAGTGACTGATCAGCGCTTTTTTAAGCGTGACACTTGAAACAAGGAGAGGAGAAAAATGAAAGGAAAAAAAAGACATACAGGGTTTTTTTCTAAAGACTGTGAATTCAGCTCCTTCAGTTTATTTGAAATTCATTATATTTGCTAACAGCTGAATTAAAGATGAACGATGAACTGAGATTGTGGCTCCTTCTAACAGTTGCACTTTTTGTAATTCTTCATATCCTGGAAATCCCTGATCAGTTTTTTTTTTTTTAATTGATTCATTTATTTTTAATGATGTGCCCGCAGGCATCTTAGGCAGTCAGTGGCCTAAATTATTTCTCATTTTCTTTGGTAGAGCAATACGCTGTAGATCTAGTACAAGGAAATCCCTAAATCTGCCTCTAATTCTCAAGTCTAGTGAGCAAGCACATCTTTTAGGAACCCCATATTGCCCACAACCAAGTTTTCAAAGATAAATATGCACACAGATTTCCCTAATAGCTATTTTTTTTTTACATCTCGATCCACTATTTTATCCATACGTATTTGGAAAACAGAGAGTATATGAATGTACCTTTCCTGGTTAAAAAACTGTGTTATTATTATATTTGCTAAATCCCAAAATAACAAATAAGAACAAATGTTGGTGACATTGTTAGATAAGCAACTGTTCGAGTTAAGGTACGGAGAACAGCTTTTCGCCAGTGTGTGAATTTTCTCTAAATGTTTGTTTTCAGTGAACGTTGCCAACATTTACGTATATTTTAATCAGACATTTGCCTATCCCAAATAATGAGGCATGACAGCAAAGGGAATCACGCACGTTGGAATAAAATCTTAAAATGCATGATGGACTCAAAGAGTGATTTCCTTAGAGATGTGATCTGGCTTTTCACATTTGGTGCGGAATGCGTTCGAGAAATCTGTTTGAACATGATGCTGGTGTTTCATTGATGGGAATTCTAAATCCTGGAAAAAGTCTCTGCTAATAAGGCGGTTTAAGAGGTATCCCAACATGTTTTCTGAAATTGATTGATTGGTCACACTGTCGGCAGACCCCTATCTCATTTAAATTGCCATGTGGGTGAGCTTGTCTTTTTGTTTATTGTACAAGCTGTAAGCACAAAAACACAAACCATATGTACCCTGTGAGTCATTATAGGTAAGCGCTGATTATAATTAGATATAGGGTTTACAATAGGTATAGGATACTACTGTTTTGCAGTTGTTGCAATTACACAGTTCTTCATATCACCCATTTGCAAAACAAATGATGAATTCTGTACGTTTTGAATAATGCTAAAATTAACGTCCCCACCACAACAATTATTTTTAAAGTTAAACCTCGACACTGTTGGAAAACATATGAAATTATGAAGTTTTGTGTTTTGTAACTATATACTATTTTTTTGTATATTAATTTGGTAATACATTTGTAATCAAATATTCCCCTGCCTGCTAATAATCTAACAAAGGACATAAAACAGAACAGTCTAAAAGTCAGCAAATTTTAATTGTTGCAATGTGTACTACGTATATCCTTAAAAGAGCAATATATGTAGCTCTAAAGCACAGTGCTGGGCATACAGTCAGTAGAGCTTAATAATATGAACATTAGTATAAACACAGATTAATGTATTCTGTAATTACAACACTTGGGATATAAACAGCACATTGATGCATGAGTATAACAGGCAAACCACAGCAGCCATGTACAGATAAGCATTTTTTCGCATTAACTTTTAGGCTGTGAACTGTTCTGTGATGTGGTAGCTGAGGAGTTAACTTGGGGGGCCCCTGTGAATGTTCCCCACGTGGGGTCTGAGTCTCCATAAAACGTCAGGCGGAAGGAAGGCGTCTTTACTATGGTGCTTTGAGGCAGAGAAGGATGGGGTCAGAGGTTAGCAGGCCCCAAATAACTTCATACTGCTTTTATAAAACCCAACCCAGCCCCTATTATGGATGGGGTCAAAACTCCCAGTGAATGAGTGGGGGGGAGGGAGTCACAGAGAATAGCGAGTCTGAAAGGGGTAGAGGGGGGACTGAAATTAAGAGAAAGCAGCATAAATGAATGTGAGATGAGAAATGAAAAGAGGTACTTGCAAAATTACAGAAGGTGGGGTTAAAAAAGGGAAAATGAGAGACAAGTGAAATAGAGACGTGCTAAATGAACGAACGAAATAGAGAGGTGGGAGAGATGGGAGAACGAAAAAAGAAATGGAAGAAAATTGTGAGGAAAATGGGTTGATAGGAAATGAATGGATAACGGAGGGATCGAAGGCAGGCAACAGGAAAATGTGGAGATGGGACATGTGCAAAAGTGAAATGGTGTGAGAATGATAATGGAATGGATGTGTAGAAATGAAGTAGAGAGATGATTTAGAGAGGCAAATGGAGGGATGGGATGAATGAGAGAGTAAAGTGGGGATATGGAAGATAATTGAGGACTTATTTAAAGATGGGAGATGAGTGAGCAGCTAATTAAGAGATTGGAGCTGAGCGAGAAGCTAATTAAAAATGGGAGACAAGTGAGAAAGCAATTAACAGAGTCAGACAAAAGGAAAAGAACTGAATAGGAGACCAGGAAACAAGGTGAAATGGACACTTAAGGTGAAGGTAAAAAAAGTAGGATTACACAGACATCCCAACATCTCAGATAGGTGGCTTCACCAGCTACTGCGCCTCTTCCCCCGCCCCTCCACAACCATTTGACACACAGATATGCACACTGGCACATACACACACTGGCACATACAAAAACAGATATACACACTGTCGCAGAGAGACACACACTCAGGTATACACTGACACACAGATACACACACACACTCGGAAACACACTGGCACATACATTCAAAGACACACAATGATATAGAGATACACACTGGCACATACACTCAGATACACACACTGACATACAGATACATACTGGCACATACACATACACAGATACACACACTAGTGCAGACACACACATTCAGATATACACTGACACACATATACACACACTGATATACAGATACACACTATCATATACACACACACTCAGATATACACTGACACACATCGACACATACACACACAATCTGACACACATTAACACATACAAGTCATACTTTTTATATTTGCAGTCACCCTTCTGTTAGCTAAGTGCTGGCTGAGGCTGATAAGAGTGAGCATGCAGCAGCAGCTCAGTCCAGCCCCTCCTCTGCCTCCATGGTGCCTGTACTGCTGCTGCCTCCAGCCTCCTCATTTCTCCATTCCTCCTGGGCGGTGCTTTGTAAAGGCTAGAAGGAAGTGACAGGCTATCACTTCCTCCCTGCCAGCTGATAACACGGGCCTAGTCGGCTCTTAAAGGGGGGGCACCCAACTGGGCCCCTGTTTAGGAGTATTAGGTAATATTATGCAGGAGTCTTCTGGAATCTCTGGAAGACTTGAGATGTCTGGGATTATAAAAAAATAAACAAACTGTAGTTTAGTCTATGACCGCAATAAAAAGGTGTAGGAAAAGGCTACTAGACATAGTTACATAGTTACAAAGCTGAAAAGAGACTTGCGTCCATCAAGTTCAGCCTTCCTCACATTTGTTTTTGCTGTTGATCCAAAAGAAGGCAAAAAACCCAGTCTGAAGCGCTTCCAATTTTGAGACAAACTAGGAAAAAATTACAATTTGACCCCAAAATAGCAGTCAGATGTCTCCTTAGATCACGCAGCTATTACCCCACTAATTAGAAATTATATCCCTGTATGACATAGCAATTAAGTCACAACAGAGATATATAAAAGAAACAATTAGTTCTACGTTAAAGCAAGAAATATTAAACAAGACGTGATTTTTTTAAATTAAGATAATATGTAAGATATTAATTACATTTAAGAGTTCAGATAATTTGATGTGCGTGTCTGTATGGTCATTTAACATACATATACACAAAAATAAAATTATGGACAAAAAGAGAAAGAGTCCCCTAAGACTACACAAATTTCTGTTTTATTATTTATTCAATGTTAGAAACTTTTAAATATTTTAGAAGCTTGAGCAAAGGCAGTCAGCAATGTGGAATAATAAAAGGAGAAGAGGAACAGGGAAACGTGTGGTCTTTTATTACTGTCACCTGTAAAAAGAGCGACGTACAGTTCCGAACTATAAGTGGTCATCTTCATGGCTGGCAGTACTCTGTACAGGACTGTATACATGGTCAGCCCACCGTCATGATGGAATACTAGGATCTAACACCTGGCCACATGACCTATGGATGGTTGCCAGTATTGCAAACAAGGGAGGGACGGAGAATTAAACACATGACTGCTTTCTGTCACTGTGCAATACTAGGAATGTAAGGACTTTTGCAAGGATATGCACTAAAGTGAGAGTTAAAAGTGAATTAAGGTAAATTAAAGGCCAGAGCAGCCAAACTGAAAGTATAGTAAAGTCAATTACTATTATCTGTAACCTCGCCACCTTGTGGAGTAAGGGTTACATAGCTGCAAGCCTGCTCCTTTAAATGTGTTAACCTAATACAGTATAACCAAAGCACTGCAGATTGTCAAAGGTCATTGGTCCGTAATCGTACTGTCCCCATGTTGAGAGAGGGTTTACGTAACATTTTCTAGTTGTCATATTAACCACTGGAGGAAATGTAACTTGGGTCGGATATACATCATGAGCACCTGTAAGGACAGATTTCTCAAACGCCCTTCAATTCCACGGCCCCTTCCAAGCTGATTTAAAAAAAAACAACTTGTCGGCGGAGCCTGACCACGCGAGTGAATGGCCACCTAAAACAGGAGCTCTGCCGAGACCTCGTCTAATCGAAAGCATTCATAAGCACCTGAGCCCCCCCTGAACCCCGAAAACACACTCCTGAACACCCTTACTCATCCCCCTCCATGGGCGGAGGTAGAAAACCCCGCAACGCAGCGGTAGCCCCGATCTTCAAACAACGCACAGAGAAGGCCCAGACGCCATCTTGGTGGCACTCCCCATCCGAGTCCGACACGGATATGAGCAGCCAAATGGCCTCAGTACGGGCAGAAGCCCCACTCACCAGGCAGGATATGAAGGGCTTCCTGGCAGACTTTCAAAAGTCTGTAGCAGAAGAGCTGGACAAAAGACTAACTCCAATCCTTGAAGGGATGGCTGACCTCATCGCCCGAGCACAGGCCACAGAGTCCAAAATGGAGGTGCTGCAAGAAACTGTCACCGTGCACGAAGATGAACTGCAGGACCTGCGAGAACAGCTGCGGATCCTGGAGGACTCGAATGAAAGCTTAAATAACAGAACAATATCTGGGTGCGATGTCTGCCTGAAACGGTGTCCGCCGAAATGATAGCGGACACACTTACTACGGTCTTCCTCAACCTATTACCAGAGGCCACAGCAGCAGACCTACTAATGGATCTCACACACCACGCATTACGGGCACCCAGCAGCAATGCCCCCACTCCAAGAGATAGAATAGTAAGGCTACACTTCTATTATATAAAAGAACGAATCATGTGCGCAGCCCGGGACTCACCTATAGAAGTGGAGGGAGTACAGATACAGCTCTACAAAGACCTGGCTCCAACCACCCTTAAGAGGAGGAAAGATCTACGCCCGCTTACGCAACACCTCCAACAACACGGTCTCCGGTACGCGTGGGGCCACCCTTTTAAAATCATAATTCGGAAAGACAACAGGTTCTACACACTGACCAGACCAGCAGAAATACCAGCGCTCCTAGACCAGCTGGGCCTTCCACAAATCCCAACACAATTGCGAGAGACCGACGGGCCACCCTCACAGGCATCCACTAGCCAGAGGCAAGCGCCCAGAACAGAGCAATATATATAAAGGCCAGCGAACACCGGCACACTGATTGGACCCCTGACCCTATGAACAAGACAGCATTAACCTGCCCCAGACACAAGGCTAGGAGCAACATCCAACGATCCGACAGAGTGACCCTGCAAGAGACTGACCACCAAGAGCCTACAGCACGCTGACACCGGCATACAGCCACCAACCATAAAACAACTCCAGCAGCGGCACCATGACCAGGGCACAGCCACACGAGTCAAAGCTACGTGAATCACCCGAGCCAAGAGATGCCCACTGCCTGCTCCACTCGTGGCCGTGAGGCCGCCGGACCACCACCCAACCCATAAGGTACTGTACTGATACCCTCCTCACCCCCGGCCCACAGGGACACGGGGGCCAGCGGACACTGGGACAGATCACACAACCCCAGGCAATGACCCAGGGCCAACCGACACCACCTCAGGACATTACAGGCCGCAAGCTAGACACTGGCCCACGCGCAAGGCAACCCCGACAACGCCCGCCTGGAAGGGGGCCGCATGGGACTGGACGTTCACAGGTGCAACCCAGAAGACCAGCAGGGGGGCAAAAACTAGCACAGGAAACAAAATACCAGCCCCGAAGAGGACAGTTTTTCTCACACCCCACACACACAGAAGCTCCAGTAGAGACACTGGTATCCACCCTACTAAGCAGAGAGTTAACATATCAATTTAAAACATAACAAACGAGGAGCAATCACCACTTTATAAAGCACAGGGGGGTTTCATGCATTGTTGACACTGTACAGGACACTTTAGAGACAAGACCCCCGACTGTTACCGGGGGGAGGGGGGAAACGCCGAACCCAGCCAAGCCACTGAGAGCGAACAGAAATAGGACAGCACCGTTTTCCCCCGCCCTTCTCCCCGCCTCTATGCTTGCAACACAGAGCGTCCACCAGAGATGCGTCCGGGCTGGGGGGGTGGGGGCGGGCGGTTTGTGGCGAAGTGACGCGCACTGATGACACAGACACAACACACAGGGGCACCCCCGGCGCCAACCCTTCCCCCCACGGCCTCCCCCCACGGAATGACAGACGACACTGTGCTACATGGGGAGGGCGGGACACCATAACATCACCGGGCTCCCCCAATAGGTGGGGGGATACAGGAGATACACGGGGGAGACGGAGTGGGAGCCACAATAGCCCGACAACAAAGCACTGAGGGAACGCGGGGGTGTCCCCTGCCTAGGCTTAACTGGGGACAGCGAAGGACCCGACTAAAGATTCAGGGCGGCACACCGAAGATCGGACCTGGGGGAGTAGAAACAAAACTTAGGGACCAGTCAAATGTCGCAAAGTTTAATGGTTTCAATGTTCATAACTTTCAATATGTAACTGTTATGCTAACTGTGTAATGTTTATCACATATCGGTTTATGCCATTGTTTGTAATGAGCAAGTGCCAACTAATTGCAACATCCATAAGGCTGAGGCATATCCTTAAGGAAATATGAACCAACTCCCTACCCCACGGAACCCACAACAACCCCTCCCCCCCACTCCCAAGGCTCAGACAGTACAGAGCACCCACAGGCAGGTCACAGGCACACGCTGCCATGACTTGAACACTCAGACCCATACACTCGTTCACCTTGGTCTCGCCACACCGATCCCCCAAAGGACACGTGAGACACCCGCCCAACTTGTAACTGGCCAGGTTGATAAGCCCAGTTCAGCCCCACTCCCCCACAACCTCGTGACAGCAATCCGGAGTGCTGGCTGGTCTGGGAAAGCCAGGCCCACTCGTACCCACCCTCCTCCCCCGCTCTTCCCCTTCCCACATCCCGCACCCTCCCACTCAAGGAACTGCCTACACGCGACCCAACTTGGCAGTGGCCCAACCGGCACCGATCTTTCCACACACAGAGACGTTGCCCCCACCCGTTCGGTACGAACACGACTAACATCACCGCACTACGGCATCTCAGAACCTCACACTACAACTCACCTCTCTCAACACGAAAGGCCTTAAAGGACCACTATAGTGCAAGGAAAACATACTCGTTTTCCTGGCACTATAGTGCCCTGAGGGTGCCCCCACCCTCAGGGTCCCCCTCCTGCCAGGCTCTGGGGGGAGAAAGGGGTTAAACTTACCTCTTTCTCTATTGCCAGACGGGGAGCTCTCCTCCTCCTCTCCTCCTCTTCGGCTGAATGCGCATGCGCGGCAAGAGACACGCGCGCATTCAGCCAGTCTCATAGGAAAGCATTTACAATGCTTTCCTATGGATGCTGGCGTCTTCTCACTGTGAAAATCACAGTGAGAAGCACGCAAGCGCCTCTAGCGGCTGTCAAGAGTCAGCCACTAGAGGCTGGATTAACCCATTTATAAACATAGAAGTTTCTCTGAAACTGCTATGTTTATAGAAGAAAGGGTTAACCCTAGCTGGACCTGGCACCCAGACCACTTCATTAAGCTGAATTGGTCTGGGTGCCTATAGTGGTCCTTTAAGTCACCGGGCAAAAGCCACAGCATTTTACGCTGGGCAAATCGCACGGGAGCAGATATAATCCTGCTCCAGGAAACTCATTTTACAGATCAGAAACACTTCCCTCTGACCAACCGGCACTTTAAACGATATTATCTGGCTAACTCCCCAGATCCAAAGATGAAAAGAGTAGCAATCTTACTCCGCAATTCATGCCCCCTAGAGGAGATATCAATCCAAAAGGACCCTGCGGGTAGATTCCTCTTCCTTACAGGACACGTGGGCACGACAACACTCTCAATTTGCTCGCTATATGCCCCATCAGCCCCAGACGCTACCTTCTGGGAGAATTTTCGTTTCCACCTCGCAGGCCTCACTGCCAAACACATAATCATAGGGGGCGACTGCAGCGCAACACAATCCAGTGTCGCCGACCGGAGTGCGCACAACGGCAGTACACCGGCTACAACACGTAAGCACAAGCTATTCACTGCATTCCTAAACGACACACCATTCATAGACATATGGCGGGCGCAGCACCCATCCGCCAGGGACTTTACCTTTTACTCCCATACACACTGCTCATACTCCAGATTCGACCGATTCCTCATCTCACACGCGGTCCAGCCATGGACCACCCACACAAAGATTGGCAATATAGCGTGGTCAGACCACGCAGAGATCACCATGACCATCCAAATACCCAATCTGCTACGACCATGGCGATGGCGCCTAAACCCATGGATACTGCGGGACCAAGGCACCATCCGAATACGGACGGACAACATCCTCAATTTTTTTGATACCAACACCACCAAAGATATCACCCCAGCAATGGTCTGGGCTGCCCATAAAGCGACCATTAGAGGCAACTTAATAGTTATAGCCACAGACCTCAAACAACGACGCCTACAAAGCCTAACAGCAGCACTAGCGGAACTGACCAGGCTGGAGGCAATCCACAAGCGAACACCAACGGATGACCTGCTGGCCCAATTAACGGCCACGAGAGACCTGATAAAATCTCTCTCAGCGGCAGACGTGGTGAGAAACCTCATGTGGTCAAAACAGAGGCCCTACCTGTACGCAGTGCTCGAGCAGCTGGGGTTCCCACCTGAGTTCCTCTGCGCCATGGCCGCAATCTACAACAGGCCCACAGGGCGGCTTCTCTTACCCAATATGGAAGCCCAAACATTCAAGATAGCAAACGGAACCAGACAGGGCTGTCCCCTTTCACCCTTACTCTTTGCCATATCACTTGAACCACTACTAAAGGGCCATACGCCTTAACCCAAACATCCAGGGTATTCAGATCCAGCAGGAAACCTACACGGTAGCGGCATATGTGGACGATGTCCTACTGACCCTAGCAGACCCCATACAATCGCTGCACACCACGCTGACACTGATTAACAATTACGCCACTCTCTCAGGATATAAGATCAACCTGGCAAAATCCATACTAATGCCTATGGCCATGGAACAGCGACAGATTGCGCTACTCTGCAACCTATTCCCCTTCCAAATCACAACCACCTCACTCACATATGTGGGAATCAAACTATCCCCTCGACTCACGGATCTCTATGAACTCAACTACAAACCACTGTTGGAAACAGCCCTCACAGACCTCTGGCGCTGGGAAGCACTGGGAGTTTCATGGCTGGGAAGATCACCACGATAAAGATGAACCTACTCCCCAGATTCTTGTATCTCTTTCAGACATTACCAATACCAATTCTAAAAGCGGACTTCAAACACCTACAAGCCTCCATGGACAAATTCATATGGAAAGCCAAAAATCCCAGGATACGCAGGGCCACAATGTACGTGCCCAGGCCTAGGGGGGACTGGGACTCCCCAACTTCCAACATTATCACCATGCAGCCCAGCTGGCACATCTACAACAATGGCATGTGCCACCGGGGACGAAAAGATGGGTGGACTTGAACATAACATTATGGGCTGGGAACTACCGTCTTCCTACCTATGGGTACCCCCAACACAGTGACCCCTACCACCACCCACATCACCGGCAATCACCCCTACACTGACC